GAATATACAAAAAGAAGGAAATAGTGTGGTAGAAATGTGGAAAGGGACTATGAGCAACATAGACTCAGAACAAGGATTTTTACCCAGCATGTAATACTGTACAGACCAAAAAAATGTCATCCCACCTCTTTGTACCTGTTATTCAACTGTTAAATGGGGAAGAATACTGTGCATTCTTGCAAGTTTGTGAGGAATAAATGAAATATTTAAAAGCACTTTATGTACAACTTGGAACTCAAGAAGTAGTAATAATTATTATTAGAAGCATTTTTCTGGGGCATCTGGGTGGCTCAGCTCTTGAGCATCTGCCTTTGGCTCAGGTCATGATCCCAGGGTCCTGGGATCGAGTCCCACATCAGGCTCCCCGCAGGAAGTCTGCTTCTCCCTCTGCCTATGTCTGCCTCTCTCTGTGTGTCTCTCATGAATAAATAAAAGTCTTTAAAAAATCATTTTTCCTACCATTAGGAACCTAAGAAGTATCATCAGGATGTGTCTATGACTGAGGGTAAATAAATAACTCAGAACCATAGCAGCCATTGCTATACTGTATGCTATACAAAAGCATAAAAAGACACCAGCTCTTGGTCAGACTTTTCAAAACTTGGATTGTTCACCTACCACCAATATGATTTCTGCCACATCCAAGTACTGCAACCTAATACTTTTCTTTAAACCAACTAATTTTTCTTTAATTGGTCCCATTCTAAAGAATTAACTGTGAAGAGGTGGGTTTGATGTGTTCTTTTTTTTCTAATATATATTAACCATTAAAACAAAGCAATCATCCCCAGAGCCACCCCCATGTCATCTCCCAGACTACATTCTAAAACTGCTTTTGGCTGCTTGACTTTTGAGACCCTTAGGAAGAGATCAGGCTAGCAATTTGTCAGTTTACTTAATTTTCCTGCTATTGACAATTACCACTTATAAAGGTTTGCAGAACATGCCAATGAAACCAAACAAATGACAAAATTCAAGCCAACAATATACATTGACTCTTTTAATGGGAAGTCTCAAACTGTCTAAAGCTAAACAGCCCAGCAATTTATCTTTTATTTAATCACTCCACCTTTATTTTCTCTGTTACAAATGAAAATGAGATTAGGAGGGCGGCCGTGGCTCAGTGGTTTAGCACCGCCTTCAGCCCAAGGCCTGATCCTGGAGGCCTGGGATCGAATCCCATGTCTGGCTGCCTGCGTGGATGGAGCCTGCTCCTCCCTCTGCCTGTGTCTCTGCCTCTGCCTCTCATAAATAAATTTAAAAAAATAGATATGAAAATGAGATTAGGAATAAAGACCCATTTTGTGGTCTAGGCTGAAGAATAAAACCAAGAGGAGGAGAAATACAGTAGTAAGTTTTGTTCTGAAGCACTAGCAGTTCAGTCAAAAGAAACGGGACCCATACAGATCATCCAAGTGAAAAACTTCTATCTTAAAGACAGTGGAACACACTCCTCTATAAAGGCAAACCATGATCAGTTATTAACCAATAACTTTTAAGTCTGTACTATAAACCAGGAAGTTCTCCATCACTCCAACAACAAAAATCACCAACCATAACCAGAAAAGAGAACTTCATTCATTGTAACAACTACAGATACCTTACTATATGTGACTTTGGAGACAGTTTTAAATCCACTAGATTAAGAGCCACACTACACACTTTTTAAAAGTTACTCTTATAAACCACTCTCTTAGAATTCCTAAGAGAATGTATCCTAAACCTAAAATATACAAGACATTATGGAGAATATGAAAAGATGAAAGAATTTGTTTGAAAGAATCTAGCACAGGGAACAAGATTTATATATTCCCCAAATGGTAGTTCTCAGGACTGAAGAGGACTTTTGGGAATTTTTCCCCAATATCCTATTATGAAAAACTTCAAACATATGGCAAAGTTGAAAATTTGCAGTGAGATTCCTCCATTTTCACTAGCCTTATCAATCCATTTATCTAATCTATCTTATTAGAATGAACTGCTGGGATTTTAAAAATTAAATAATGTGCGACAGAGAATTTTGGTAGGCCATATTAAGGCTGCTTCTCAAAACTTTTGATTGATGGGATGCATGAACAAAAAGTTTGGAAACCACAAATCCACACTTAGTGTTTAGCTCTCTTGCCAGCCTACAATCAAAATCCATTCAGATCTCACGGCTGGCCATTTTAGGTCTCCACACCCTTGTCCACTACCCAAACTATCCTTCCCAGCCCTCTTCATGGCTAAGCACCAAACCGTGAAGCCTCTCCCAACTTTTAAACCCTCACTCAGAATTAACCATGCCCCCTGTGGGGCCATATTTTTCATCATTTGCAATTAGCTCACAGTATCATATCTGCAACTTGGTTTTGTCTTTTACTAAACTGACCTCCTTAAGTATAGGGATTCTTTTTTTTTTTTTTTTTTTTTTTTTTACCTCTTAACCCCTGGCAACAGGCATAGTACCTAGTCTACAGCAAGCAATAAATGAAATAAATTAATGACCCAGACCTGTCTTTATCCAGAACCAGGAAAGATTTTAGGTGAGTAGGAGGAATGACCTAATCACATTGGCACTTTAGAAAGATTCATCTTAGAGCACCATTGTTAAGAGCATGAGCTCTGGAGCCAGACTGCCTGGGCATGAACCTCAAAATCTCAGCTCTGCCATTTATTGCTGGGTGACTTTGGGCAACTTTCTAAACCTCCTGTGCCTCAGTTTCCACATTTGGATAACAGGGATAATACTGCTTCACAGGTTATTGTGAGGATCAAATGAAAGAAATTTTGTTGTTACAGCACATAGATGAGCACCTGGCACAAACTAAGCATTTCATCAGTCATTGTCACCAGCAACCAGGTTAATAATGCCACTGAGTTAAAAAGTCCTTAAAGCTTGAGTGGTAGCAATGAAAACAAAATGGAAAGAACCGTCATGAATGAAGAATCTACTGAAAAATGTTCAGTCTTGAGGGAAAACAAATGAATGCCTGCTATGTTATTTTTTCTTACTTTGTATATTTGAGATGGCTCTTTACTGGATGTTGTATCCAACCCAGGCACAGATTTAAGAATATGCACAAGGAGTTCTAGCATGACAGAAGTTTGTAGCCACAAACTCTCTGACCACTGCAAGCTTCTTGTTGCAGGTCTTTATAGTCTCTCAGATGAGTTTTCCCTCCACATTACTCTACCCAGGACAATTTCTTTATGATGCTCGCAATTCCCTGTCCTGTCTTCTAATTGTGACCACATACCCAAGAGCCTTGGTTGGAAAATGGGTTTGAGGTTTTGTCCTACCCAACCCTGTGCTACTTTTTCTTCTTCCTGTACTACTTTTTCTTCTTCCTGCCCACCTCCTTTACTTCTCAAAAGCCTTGGTATTCCCCACTCGTACGAACTTGAAACCTAAGAGTATGGGAGAGCAACAGAGCAATAAGAGTGGTGCCAAGAACTGGAGATGCTGCTGCCCAGCTGTTCCCCAGACCCCATATGCAGTGATCAACTACATGCAGAGATTGGACTTAACTGTCCATGGGGCCTGACATGCATATTCCTTTTTGCTTCCGCTCATTTTTTCTCCCACATAAAGCAGCCCTCCCAAACCTGTAACCCATTCAAATCCAACCCATCCCTGTAGAACTAGAGATCCAGTTCTTCAAGGAAGCCTCCCCTGACCCATTTAGCCCACAAATATCCCCCAACACACACAAAGCAGATACTGTACTTACAGTCTGTATCATAAAAGCATAATCACATACACTTAAACCATTAAATAAATCTTTCACGTTTTTATACTTGATTTAACAAGGGCAGGAAGTCACGTCTCACATGTCCTTTAAATCCCTCACTCTCAGTGGTCTAATATTTGTTGAACAGTGACTGAATCAGTGGTTTTTTTATTCGTTTAGGCTAAGGAAAGAGTAGATATCATGTTGAAGTGAAAAAAGGCTGAATGGACAGAAGTAAAAAAAAAAGCGGACAGGGTAAAATGGTGGGGAAAAATCTAGAAAGGTATTCGATTAACATGTCTGATTTGCTGCAAGGTTGGAAGGAGACATACAGAGGTACCAACTGGTAAAATTTGGAAAAAAGCCATTTCAGCGTGAGGCAGAAGACAGCAGGAGAAAGATGGGGCGACAAAAGAAATTCGGCTAAAACCCTGGGATAGGCCACTGGATAAACGAAGGTAAAGGGAGTTACTGGGATGACATGAGTAGAGATGTGGTTGTGTTGGTGGGCGAATTGGTAGGAGGTGGTATGAAAGGGTGGGTAGATGGATAGAATAATAGAGGATAGTTAGGCAAGTGGATTAGCTGATAAGGCGGTGAGTAAATGGGGAGCAGGTTAGTGGGTGGGTGGTTAGGTGTTTAGCTGGGAGGGAATAGGTGTGGGCATATTATTTAAGATCCGGCCCCTCCCTCACCTTGACCCGGAAGCGGATGAGTGCTAGCCTCACGCAGTGGCTCAGGCAGGCCGGTGGCAGGAACCAGGCCCGTGGAGGAGGGGTGCCCTTGTTGCCCACGTGTCCCACGATCAGTTGCGCTGTCTGCCGCTCGGCCTGGCACCGACGGCCCCATTCGGCCAGCCGGTCCTTTCCAAGGCCCCCGGGGAACATGACCACCAGCTCCAGGCCGTCGCCGCCGGGATAGGCACAAGCCTGGCACAGCGCTGACAAGTAGCCCAGCATGGCGTTCCATTGGCCGCCACACACCCAATCCGTCTGGTAGCCACCATAAAGCCGCGGAAGCGCCGAGCCCGCGTCCACAAGCACCCGGGCCCCGGGCAGCGGAGGGGGAAGCGGCGGCGGTGGCGGGTGCAGCCCAGGGTGCGCCTGGCTCTGGTGGTGGAAGTGGTGAGCGGGGTGATGGTGACGAGTCGGCCCCGCGCCCCCGGAGTAGGCACCCAAGGCAGCGGGCGGGAGCGGCGGTTGCAGAGGTGCGGAGCCTCTGGCGGCGCGTGGAGCCCCGGGTGTTAGCGCTGCCGTAGGCGGCAGCTGACGATGCTGGTGCTGTTGCTGCTGGCGCGAGACCGTGCGCGCGAGTTTGAGGAGGTCCACGGGCACCACGGCCCCGGGACAGCGCTTCTCCAGGAACTCTTGGAAGCCCTGGACGCCCATGCTTCGTCGGTGGGCAGACGAGACGGCGGCTGCGCGAGCAGGTTAGGCGGCGATCTGGGCGCGAAGCTGGGGGCGGGCGCGTGCGCACTCCGCAGGGGGCGAGGGGGCGGGAAAAGGAATCCTGAGGGGGAGGGAGGAAACGAGCGAGAGGACGAGGGCGGGGTGGGGAGGAGGGGTGAGGCCGACCGGACTCAGGAGAGGCTAGGAGGATAAAAGCGATGACGGGCTCTAGTGACTTCTTTTTTTTCTCCCCCCTCTCTAGCCGATCTTCACCGCTTCAAAAGGGGTGAAGCCTCTTCCTTCCACCTCCGGGAGCCATGTTGCCTCGTCTTCTCTATGGTACCCGCTTTCTAGTTTGGGGGAGGGATAGTGGGGCGGGGCGGAGGGGGCATCCTGGGAGTTGTAGTCTTCTTTATGGCCTCAGGATGCAGTCGAGGAACAAGATTACCAACCCTTTCTGCCCTTGCGCTCACAGGACTCGAGGTGACGGGCCGTGAAACGTGTTTAGGATTTGCAATCCCAACTCCCTGCATCCGCCGAATTGCTTCAGGCTATTTACCGCCTTTCCCAGGAAAAGGAGTTTGGGGGAAGAAGTGATGCATCATGGGAAAGGAAGTAGAGTGGATTAATTGAGTTCAGCTAAACAACGCTAAAATTCCTGAGGAGGGAGCATTTTCCTTGGGGGGGGGTATAATATGCGTATCTTTTAATGAATGAGATGGGACACACATGAAACGTAAAAGTGGTAACCAACATTTCTGTAGTACTCTACTTAACTTTTAACTACCGTAATTCTTCGAAGAGTTGTTGGCCCCAGTTTATGAGTAGTGAAGTTGACATTACTTATTTGCCCAAGGCAATGCAGAGACAAAGTGAAATTATCACTTTTTTTTTTCCAGAACGTCTTTGGTCTGGGAAATAAGCACCAACACAAATTAAACTGCAAGGTAGTCACAGAGCTACAGGGTCTTTTAGTTCAGACCTTTGTTTCCAAACCTCATTGTGAATCTGGGAGCTCTTGCAGAATAACTGCAAGGGCTACAATTCCAGACGTACAGAATCATAATCTTTTGAAAAATAGACTTTCAGCGTGCTTTTTAGTTGATTCTGATGTAGCATCAGTCATCTGACTGGCTTTTAGGGCCCACTCTTTTAGCAGGAGGACAGCAAAATAGAAGATCTGTTTGTAATAGGGAGTAGTGTAGCCAGACCTGGCTTGGAACATAATGAAAGATGGGAGATAATGGTAGGCCAAGTTAGAATGCAAAAAGTGCAGAACCCAAGAGTAGTCCAGATAAATGAAAGTCTGAGAACAGTCTATCAGGATGCAAAAGCTGAAAATGCTTCAAGCTCCATAAAGGAATTTATCATGAAAGAATAGTGCAGATAGAACAAGCCATACTGGCAAAGAATAGATGGTGAAGCAGTGCACATAGGTAACTCTTAGTAAAAGGAGAAAGCAGTGGCTCAAAGGGATGAAAGATGGAAAGAATAGAGGTTTTCTAGTTCATATAACCATAGCTGAATGGGTCAAAGATAGACAATCCAAGCTGGATCAATCAGAATCTCATTCCCTGGAAAGTTGGAATTGGACCAGAGAGATCAGTTTTTCTCTAAACATAAAACTTGGAAGCTGTCAGCAATTTCACCACCAGAGGGAAAGAAGTAAAATGTACTCTATAGAAAGGGAAGAAAAATGCAGATTCTCAGCACAGAGGTGAGATATAGTCTTGTGTTTAAGTTCCAGGTTCTGTATCATTCCTGAAGCATTCTTGGTCATTGGTTTCTGTGAGGCAACCCCATATCCTTACTATTATTACTTTTAAGACCGAATTGGATTATAAACTACTTATGATGAAAAAAAAATCCCTTCAAAAACTGATAGGAGAAAGGGAGTGTGGCAATTTACAGATCCCAAAATATGGAGCTGGCAGAGATTAGTGATCTCCCACATCAGTTAATGGGAAGTTGGCATTTTGTGTTATTTGGCAGTGAGGCAGTTGCTTATTACTCTCAGGACTCTAAACAGAGCAGCCCTTCTGTCTGTATCAAGAGATCTTCAATTGCTGAGTGTCAGATGTTCATGGGCTTTGCTAACTTAAAGCAGAACTTTCTCATTTCAAATGTTCACTGATTAGGAAATTGGCATCTAGGTAATTGGAATGTGGTTATCTGTCTAAGCCTCCATAGATTCCTTGTCCTCCAGATCCCCAAATGTGATATTTTCCTCCGTAAATACATTCAGCTGAAATGCAAAGAAGAGAGAATAGGTATAACATGCCCAAAGCAGATCGGAAAAGAGAGGCAGGGCACCTGGGTGACTCAGTTAAGTTTTGGCTCAGGTTGTGATCTCAGGGTTCTGGGATCAAGCCCCACGTCAGACTCCGCACTCAGGTGGAGTCTGCTTATCTCTCTCTCTCCCTCTCTCTCTCTCTCATAAATAAATATTTTAAAAGACACACACACAAACTTCATAGCCTTGAACTCAGCCTATTATTATCTACCCAATCTCTGAACTTGGGTAGAGCTTGAGTAGAATGCCAGGGAGAATAAGCCAAGTCATTCAGTAGAGTGCTAAGAGAAGCTGCAACAGGCTGAGCCAGGTTATTCCCTTTAGTAGATCTTAAGATTCAAAGATTATAATTTGACAAGGTTCTTGGACTTGTTATTAGCATTCTGAGTCCCCTCAAATGAAATCCACAGGCAGTCAAGTGAGGTTTTGAGGAAGTTGTATCACTAGAAAATCATATCTAGTGAATAGAGACCATGAGTCAAAATGGTGATTTTCAAAGGATGGTCCCTGGACCTGCACATCAGCATCACCTACAAACTGTTAGAAATTCTCAGGCTTCACCTCAGACCTCCAGAATCAAACTCTGTGAGTGGGGCCAGCAATCTGTGTTTTAAGTAATGTCAAAGATAAACAAAACCTGACATTAGTTAAAGCAGTGAAAACTGGGTGATGAGGGCACTTGTGATGAGCACTGGGTGTTATATATAAGTGATGAATCACTAAATTCTCCTGAAACCAATTTTACCATGGTCACTAGAATTTTTTTAAAAATCTTGAAATAAAAGCAGTGAAAACATGTTATTCAGTAACTACTGTCAGTTGGGGAAAAAGCTGGTCTCTGTTCCCATTTGTGCAGAGGTGACTGGGTATTTTAAAGGAAGGATGAGGGAGGATGAAGGAGGGTGCAGGGGCTCAAGTAGAGTCAGGGTAGTGAAAAATTACAAAGAGTGGGCAAGAGTGTAAAAGCGATTAGGCCAGCTAGGTCTGCTAGCTGGCACTTATGGAAATTAGGGTGCTGTCCTACAGAGACTGGGAAATAGAGGCCTAACCTTCCTGATGATTACATTTCAAAGGAATGGCTCTCAGGTCCAGAAGAAGGATCTTTCTGAGTTGTTAAGAGGGGAAGAGCTCACAGGTGTAAGCCTTTTTTTAGTAAATGCTCTAAAAATGGGAGGTCAGGGGGCTATCTTTAAGTGTTGGCTAAAGCAAACTATAAATTCTGTTGACAGCCCTGAGCTTTCCAAATGGGAAATGAGTCATCTCAGGGACTAGCCTTAGGCTTCTAGAAGCCATACTAAAGTTTGGTCAAGTCTCTTGACCTAGGTGTTTGAAGGGACTGTTTGTGTTGAGAAAGTTTTTGCAGGTCTCACCTTCAGGTGACTATTATAATGCACTCTCAAATTTGAGAATCACTTCTCTTCTAGAACATGCCCTCAGCCCAAGTAGACTGGTTAAGTGAGAAGGTGCATCAGTAAATTGACTCCCATAAGTTTTTCTATGCCTGTAATTTACTTTTATTCCTATCCAGGTGGAAATAGTGCATATTTGGACCTGGTAGCTGATAATGGTGTGCCCCTCTCCTCTCCTAAAAGGGGATTTTGATCATGGTTAATCTGTTTATCATATTAGATCTATTGGTAGGGATCCCTGGGTGGCGCAGCGGTTTGGCACCTGCCTTTGGCCCAGGGCGCGATCCTGGAGACCCGGGATCGAATCCCACGTCGGGCTCCCGGTGCATGGAGCCTGCTTCTCCCTCTGCTATGTCTCTCTCTCTCTCCCTCTGTGTGACTATAATAAATAAATAAATAAAATAAAAAAAATAGATCTATTGGTAGTAGTTAAGTTTACAAAAGGTTGCAGGATCAAGAGGAGCCACATTTAGACTGTCGCTGAAGTAGAGGAAGGGGCATGTGACTTGTAGTTGGCCGTGGATTGTTAGGTATTTGCGTTTTTGGAATTGTAGATATGGGGAAAGTGGCATGTGTTTATGGGCAGTTTAAGAGGAGGAGTATAGGTAAACATCTATTGTTTTGTCTTCCCAGCACCCTTTCTCTACTTTATCCTCATGGTTGCAGCAGGAAGCATTCTTTATGTACCTTCACAGAGAATTTGGGATTGAGCTGGTGAAGAGATGAAAAATCCTGGCTGCATTCAAGCACCTGATGTATTTGTTCCTAAAGCCCATTTGCATTATCCCTGGGTTTTGTGAGACACCACCATCTTTATAATAAATTCTTTTTGCTTAAGCTTGTTCAAATTGATTTCTATTACTTGGACACAAGAGTCTTAACATACCTAATACAGGAGAAACTTCATGCTGGATAGACCAGAGAGGGTAGAGATAACATAGGTCAAAGCCCTGAGAGAAGGGGATAGATGTCACAGAATAGTAAAGTGCGTGCTTTGGAGCCAAGATCTGGATTCCAATACTAGTTCAACTCCTTATTAGCTATCTAACAAGTTACTTAGCCTCTTGATCCCTTACTATATCTGTGAAATAAGAACTTATTAATTCATTCTACAGATTTGGTACCTGCTACATGCCAGGAATAAAGCTGGACACTGGGAGAAAGCAGTTTTCGACAGTTGAGGAGCTTAGAAGGGAAATGGTAATGATACTTACCTCAGAAGCTTGTGGAGGTTAAATGATGTAGAGTGCTTAGCATAGTAACTGGCACAGTACACACCTAATTAACGTTCATTCTTATCAGGAAAGGTGGAAAGAAGCATAAGAAGTTGGTATGGAGAGTTCACATTGGACTCAATCTTCTGATATCTTCCACTCAAGTAGCAACAAGCTGTTCAGTTTCTGCAAGGGCCCACTTAGCTTTCTCTATTGCCCAGAACCTTGGGGCCTGTATGAGAGGCTATAAGCTCATATGGTTATAGGAAATAGTTCATTAGAAGGTCTAATGAGGCTGCCATATTTCTTGTTTTTCTTGAACCAGCAACTGGCTAGTAGCAAGCAGGGAAGTCATTTGATTAGTAAACAAGGACAGTGGTTCTCAACCCTAATTACATTAATATGCGTATGTAACGATACTGGTTGTAGGGATGGGACACACATGTGTTTTTTTTTAATTGTGGCAAAATACATACAAAATTTACCATTTTAACCATTTTTACCTGCACAATTCAGTAATGTTAAGTATATTCACATTGTTGTGCTTTACATAGCTCCCCAGGTGATTTTAATATGCAGTCAGGGTTGAGAATCTCTGAGCTGGGATGAAGAAACCTTACAAATACTGGTTAAATTCCTGAGGCTATTTTCTCATTTGTAACATGCATGTGAGCTAGTCCAATTCATTTATCACAAGGTCCTGCTCCTATTTGGACCATTACCTATGCTGTACACCTTTATTTCTGTCTTGAGCTTCTGTTGTAACACCGTACCCTCTTTTCCCCGACTACTACTATTTCAGCTCCTTCTAAACTCTTTAGGCCAGACAATTCTGCCATCTCATTCTTTTATCTAGTGGTGCACACTTTACATGGGTTTTATATGGTCTTATCCCCCAACACAGACACGTTCACCTCTGAACCCCACTCTGTTACATCCTCTAGCACCTTTTGGGCCAATACTTAATCTTTTCCACCAATGAATCTCACATTGACTCACAGGTTGGGTTCAGTTTTGTCACCTGTTTCCTCTTCTTTTAAAATAGTTATATGGTCCCTTGAGTAGTCGTTACTATTATTTGAGCAAACCTACTATGTACCAGTCCTTTATATGCTTTATCATTTAGTCTAGAAACAGCCCAACTAAGGCAGCTATCCTTTTTTTTACAGATAAAGAAGTTGAGGTGGAAAAGTTTAGCAGTTTTCCCAAGTTCACGAAGCTAGACTACAAATCCAGGTCTGCTGCACTCTAAAAAGTATATCTGTATTAACTGTAGTAAGAATGAGGGCCAATTTCCAAACCAGCCTGATTCCTAATTACAAATTTAGTGTGAAAGTCACCGGAGAGAGATATCTCACAATAAACACAGTTAGTTCATTAGGGACAGACATAGCTGCTTCTACAGATCTCATTTAATACAACCACCTCATTTTACAAATGAGAAAATGGAGGTTTGAGAGGTCTGTGAATCAAAACCCATGCCATGCTTGTTCCACTATGTACCTTGTATCCTTCCTTTAGGGATCATCTAAGATAGAATGCCTCAGCATTACTGGGTCAATATATCAAGGTAATAGATTTTTTAAATATATTTATAAAATCCTCAGCTAATCTTAAATATTTTTGATAGGCTTCTAACTTCCCCCAGGGCTGTTTGCATAAACATATGCACTATTCTAAATAAAGTTATCAAAGTGAACAAGTGATTGCACCTCATTTGGCAGTTTCCCAAGTCACTGTGGTGTGGTAAATGAGAAATGTGGGAGGGAAGTTTCCAAATGTAATTTTTTCTAAGGGTGTACCATATACATTGTCAATATGAAAGGAAATCTCCTTAATAAGTTTGCACAAAGGACACATTTTGAATCCTTATTTGTACCATAAACACATTCTTCTACTCCTAAAATTATGAAACAAGCACTGGCTACAACCTAATGAAAGATATGTTAAAAAGAGTACATACTAATCCTAATAATAGATGAAGACTTATTGTAAATGTATTTGCATTATTTTTCCTTACAGTATATCCAAGAAGTGTGTGGCCTGGGGTTTTTCCCATGAGCTTGGGAGTCAGACCTGGTTCTGGATTCAGGCTTTACCATTTCCTAGCTATATTACCAGGGCAAATTCTTTAATCTCTCTGATACATTAATTTTCTCTGTAGAGACAGTAACAGATTTAGCTTATAGGATTGTTTTGTGAATTAAAACTATCACAAGTAAAAGTCTAGATAACACAATAAATACTCAGAAAATCATAGTGACAGTTACAAGTATAGTTCCTTGATAAGAGTGGAGAAGAGGTACAATTTTTGCTAGAGCTGTATACATCAAGAGATAATCTTGATTATCTTGGTTAATTTGTTCAGCCAGCATAATTTATAGGACTAAATTTTTTTTAAAGATTTTATTTATTTATTCATGAGAGAGAGGGAGAGAGACAGAGAGACAGAGAGAGACAGAGAGGCAGAGACACAGGCAGAGGGAGAAGCAGGCTCCATACAGAGAGCCTGAACGTGGGACTCAATCCCGGGTCTCCAGGATCAGGCCCTGGGCTGAAGGCGGCGCTAAACCGCTGAGCTACCGGGCTGCACTTTTCTTAAGATTTTATTTATTTAGGACTACATTTTTTAAATCTGCTAAATGAAGAATCAGTTTAAGACAGGTGATTGCAGTGACTGTGAAAGCATTTTAATAAGATAGCATACTCATTTTATAACACAGCCTTTATTTTCGTTTCAAAACAAAATTTCCAAGAAACAAAACAAAATACAATGGCTGGGTACAAATGAAATAAAAATCACAGTTTCAAAGAACCAAAAACAGACAACTGCTTAAAGGCAGATCACTTGGTTTACCAAAAAAAAAAAAAAAAAGTTAATGTCAAGAAGGATTAAAATTGAGTTTAACAACATTCTATATAATGCTACATTCCCCAATTAAGAAAGGAGAGTTCACATATACAACTAAATGTTAAGTGTAGAGAAGTGGCTGAAAGTCTGCATACTTCATAGTAAATTATGCATGAAAGTTTATTAATTGCATAAACTTCCTGAGTGGCTCCCATGCTGCACTAGGTCTACATGCTTAATATTCATATCAAACAAATGACAGCTTTAAGAGATTGAGCATGACAGACCTTGAACAACTGCACTTTCCGATCAGTCACTATTTCTGCTGAGGGTATGTTCTAGACCACAAACCTCAATCTGAAATCTTAGCTTATAGTGAAAAAGAAATGCAACTTAAAAAACAAAAACAAAAACCTAAAAGGATGACAAGCACACATTTAGGAGTTTATTTTACACCCACACATTTTTTCTCAAGGGGCCAGTTTCTCTTTTCCCTTCTTGCTTGACTTTAGCCTTTTTGAGTTTTTTTTTTTAATTAAAAGAAAACCTTCCAGAATGGAAGCTGTTGGTTTGTACACTCTTTCAACTATCTCAGTTGAAAATAACTTCAGTGTAACCTAGCCACTATCCCAGGCCCCTGCCTATGTTAGCTAGCAAGGACCCTGACCAATGTTTATGTTCATCCTTCACATACAAAGACTACTTCCATGATGATCTGAAAGCATTTGGCTCCAACAAAATTTCATACCAATTTCAAAGGATTTTACCAAGTTTGAGTGTCACAATTTTACAGTCTGGATTGTTTTTAAAAGAAACTGAATCCCAGAAATTACATTTATCAAATCAATGGCCTTTTCTACAACATACCCCCTTTCTGGTTCATCTTCAAAACAAAGGGGGGATAAAAAGTCCCCAGTACACTACAGAATGAAAAAATGAACAATCTATTCTAGAAAATGGCCTGCACACCACCTCAAATCTCAAGTTTTTCTAAACCAAACAGAAGATTAAATAACCAAATTTCAAACTGATGGCAAACCTCAGGAATGTATTTGTGCATGAAGCCTGAAATACAGTATTTGCTAACATTAAATATGCTGTAGTGTTACAGTAAACATGTGAAACAAGGAGCATGTGGCTTACAAACATTAGCTAGGTTTTCTGGAAAAAGAAAAGGAATGCATCATTCCATCATTCAGAAAAGACAAGAAAAAAGTCAATGCCTCCAATAAACTTTAGAGATCAAATAAACAGTTACCACCAACTACAATTCAACTAAAAGCATATAGCCATTTTAAGGTAACAAAATGCCACTGCAAGTACCTACCAGTATGCTGAATGACAGGCCACTGCTATAGGATTTATCAAATATTTCATTGTGGTAGTTAAAGCAATTTCAACCTTTAGCCCTTTAGGCACACAGACAAGAAATGCATCTTTAATAAAAGATGCAAAGTTACAGGCACTGGACTGTCTAATTTAGATACTTTCTTAGCATTTATTTTATGACTGACCCCTAAACCAAGTCCTATATTGCCACCAGCTGGATTTATTTCTCTGTCATCCACAAATCCCCAAAGCTTATTCTGCAGAGGCACATGGCTCTCATCACTTAAACACAGATTGGTGGCAGAGTGATGGTCCCTCTCAACTCGAACTCATGGTTAGCACTGGGACTAGGAGGCAGGCCAGATTTATAACCTGAAAGTATACTGAGAATCAAGGCAAAAAAAAGCAAGTTTCACAGGCAGTGTTCACTTCTGTACCCCCAAACAGCACTGAAAACGAGGTAGATAAACAAAAGTAACTGGACTGGAATTAAATCTGGGGTTCTAAAATGATACATCCCATCATACTGCACATAATACTCCACACTCAATCCAAAAATTATAGCGGAAAAGTGCCTTTTAAACTTTCACAGATAATTTTGCTGTCAAACCATTAGAATTCATGCTTGATATAAAATTGGCAAGAAAAGTATGAAAAACAAAATGGATATTTGTTATATTACAGCAAATTACCTTAAATAGAGATTCAAGACTGCTACAAATATACATAGGGTTATTTTCATTAGATTTATACCAATACTGGTTTCATAGTCTTATGATGTTACACCCAACTTCACAAACATAGCAGCATGTACTTCATGATGAAATGCTCACATTGCCACATATGGAGATACAGTACTATTTGTCAGACTTGTACTTTGAGAAGTAAACATGGTGGTTGAACATAGAGACTATCCCCCAAATAAACTTTACAAGCAGGGTACTTTAGTACAACTGTTTTTCTCCTATGAAAAGGACAGGTTTGTGTGTTTTTTTGGAAATGGGAAGAAGGGTCCTGTTACATAGTAGGCTCATAGTTAAGTAAGAAGGGAATTTCTGAGCTTCACCTCAAGAGTTCATTATTTCTGGGGAGGAAAATCACCTCAGCAAGGATGAAAACAGCACTATTATATGAGTTCACAAAATTATGAAATAATGCAAAACCCCTAGATAAAAAACTAGCCAATATTCACAAAGTGACTATAATCTGAATCAACATTTAAGTAATGGGGGGAAAAAACCTACAGTGATGTAACACCGTTTCTTAATTTCTGCACAAACTCACTTTTTCTGTATTTTTAAACTTATACATGTAACATATACATAATATATACATAACATATATGTTAATCCAACTACTGCAGTCAGCACGGAGACAGCAGTACACTATTCACCATCTTCAAACTTTAGAAGACTACTTTTCTTTCCAGCAAAAAAATCTGAAAAGATTCTAAATATTACAAGGCACTGCAAAAGTCTGCAGGCAAATGAATGATGAATTATACATAAAACAGAGGTGGTGGCAAAATGTGGGACATTTGATGTAGAGCAGCCAATAATAAATGTAATTGTGCATGTCATCCATGGAGGTTTTTTCATCCTGGGGTACACGGTTTAAAAAGATTACATCTAGAGAAGAAGGGATCTTAAAACCTGCAGGATTTTCACTTTATAGGTTGTAAGTCTTAGTGTAATTACACAAAACCAACTATTATAATAAAACATGAGCAGTTTTAAAGAATTACGGATTTTAGGTGCATTGTTTTTGTACACATGGAAAATACTGCAATGCAAACATTTGCATTAATGCTAATGTCCTAAAATCACTGCAACTTGAAAACCAATACTGTAGAAGAAATTTGAAGAATCTGTACATAAGATTTAGAAAGAATCACCCAAACCAGAGTATGTTTTATGAAAAGAAACTGTGACTCTTATAAACGGTAATTCTGAAAATGCTGCCTTAGACACCCCAAAGGATAATGACAGAATCAATCTTTTATGATGTTTAGTGTGATCCTTAGCTAAGCAATATTAGACACATTTTTTTGAAAAAGGGTACTTAATGTCACAAAGTAGGCTATGCAAAAAAAAAAAATGTATACCTATTAAATTTTCCTCATTACCTGGCAAGCTCTTGGGGTAAAAATTTTAGGGGAATATGGAGGAAAATCTGTTAAAAGAAATGTTGGGTGAAATTTTGGAATGTTTACCAGTAGACAGCTCATTATCAGGTAAATGTGTACTAGAAATTTGAGCTTGAAATTTTCAGAGTGGAAAATATTTTAAACATGTATATGTGGTAGTTGATTAATACCATTTAAGAATTCTATTTGGGTTTCACAGACTGAACATTAGGTAACTCTGTGACTAGCCTTTTAAGATTATTATAGTTAACCTCCTCGAAAGCCAAAAGTGTATTTTGACACTGCCTCACCTCCTCCTAAAACTGGATAAAACCCAGTAAAGTGCAACTTGACAGTAATCTCTCTCAGATTTTAAAGAGGCTGCCAAAATCATCTAAGATCTGAAATCATCTAGGATGCTATATATACTAATAAGAAATTATAACAACTAAAAAATTGTAGTAAAAAAAAAAAGCTAAGGGCAACTTAAATAGTGTCCTTCGAGGGTCTACTATCTCACTGCAGGACAGTGTATACCCCACATCTTAGAACCCTGTAAAGCCAGTGTTTCATGTGTAAGTCTCAAAACCTACAACCAACTTGTCAAGTACATTTTACTTCAGAAGAATGGATTGAGAGGTGTAACTTGAATCCTCTTTGTTAGGAATACAAAGATTCCCCCAAAATGAGATTCATATCAGCTGCAATATATCCCTTGCAAAAGAATGCAAGCAAACCAATGCCTCTCAGATGCCCCAAAACAATGTAGTGTGCACATGAGAAACAAGGAGATAGCTGCTTTGAATTACTATTGAAATCCTAAAGCAGCTACAGTATCTGCAGAATCAAGGAACTGTTACAGTTCTGTTTTTTCCTTTCTCTCCGCCTCACCTAAAACAAGGCTTCACTCCTGCTGTGAAGACGGGAAGAAAATCACATTAAAAAGGGCTCACGGTCTATATTGGTTGACAAAGTTATTCTAATTTTATATACCAAAATGTTTCCTGCAGTAAGTTACCCTGCCTTCTGTGAAAGTAAACCTAAGATAAACATGTGAAGAATCCCATAAGACTCCAGCTTTTGGAGGGTCTCACTTCGTCCACGTTTGGGGAATATCAATTTAAATAGTTTTTATACATTTTAAAGTATCATCCAGCTGCAGATAGCAGCAGTAAAAAATGGGGGCTTCTCAGCAATTCATGGAAAGTGTCCTGGAAATGGTATGCTCAAGCTGAGCTTATTAAAGCATTCTGAACGGTATTTTTTTAAAAATCAAGTATCAAAGAGGATAGGATTTGAAGTGAAAAAACATTTCTGTGTGCAGCGTTCTATGTACAAACTGCACAGTTCTACAGAATGATGAGCTATATAAAATACCACAATGGAATGAAAAAGTACAGTGGAAAGTAAACTCAAATGAGGGAAAATGTGGCAGAACCCAAGAAGAAGAACGTTTAGTATCTTAGGTGTCCTGAAAATAATTCTGAAAAAATCTCCCATTTCTTCATCATCTACTCTGATTCATTTGGGACCAGGAGGGATTGCAGATGGATTCTGCACTGATGAAGCTGGAAATGCCTGTAAATTCATTCCTGGCTGGAATGGTCCCCCAGATTGAGTAGGAATTACTAAAGACTGTTGTGGTGTTCCTGAAATTCCTACCCACTGTACTGGGTACCCCGGCCCCCCCACAGCATTATACTGACAAACATGGGGCATTCCATATGATGATAATGGCCCAGGAAATGAAGGGAGTGGGAGTCCTTGTGGCATGGAGGTTGGGACAGCTCCACGGATTTGGGACAGAGAAGAAATCCATGTTGATGTGTAGCCCATAGTAGATGGAGTATTCTAACAAAAACAAAAATAAAAACAAAAGATCAGTTCATTTGGTTGATGCTTTTACCCATCTATATTCCTTCCTATTCTTTCTGGCTTACTATTCCCATTATTACTATAAGTGGGTGCCACTTTTAGACCACCTATCTGTGTACCAAGCATTGTTGCATACCTTCTTTCACTTCCTCTTCACTACTGCCCTGCAAAGTAAGCATTTTCAGATTAAGGAAACCGAAGCTCAAAATTGGTAACACCTAATATCACTAAGCAACTTTATAGCGAGGTAAGGATTTGAATAGAGTTCCAGCCTACTCCAAGGACCCTGCTAAATGTCTGTCCAGTTAGTGTCATCGCCTTTCTTTATGCTAGCACTACTCTTCTATCTTTATTTCCTTTTGCCAGCCCCATGAATTCTCTCATTCAGCACCACAGACAATAATAGCCCAACTTACTACATAATTCTTTGGAGACAGAGAAGCATGATTTAGTGTGACACAAGGGAAAAGAGCCTGGCATATATAGTAAGTGCTCAACAAATGTCACCTCCCCTACCCACTTCTACTCATTGCCTTAAAGTCTAATGTTCCTGTAGCATTTTTGGAAGTTTAAACTCAAGACAATCATGTTTTTGGCAGTATTGTGAAAATATATTCCTGCCTGACTCTTCTTATCATGTCCTCTTGTGATTATGCACACATACAGAGATTACTGAAATCTTATGCACATGGTAATAATATGTCTAATGAAAGTAAATAAATCCCACTTAGAGTTTGGTATCAGTCCCAAATGCTTAGTCCTTCTAAACTGAATAGTCAAGCTAAAAGCCTTTCAAACAAACTTTCAAACTAAAGCTAAAGGCTTTTGCTTGATTCAAGAATGAATGACTACATCTCTTGAGGTGAAAAAAAACTTTCACTTCAAGTTCAGTAATCCCTTCTTCATATCAGTGTTTTTGTCCTGTTAAAGTAAAATTAAATTTAATACTTCTGATTCAAAAGAACATATATATATGATTGCATTTTTATAAAGTCATTTCCACATATCTAAATACAGACATAGAAAGATATCTGAAATGGTGTTTATCTAAAGTTAGTGACAATAATTTCTAGGTAGTGGGATTAGAAGGTGCTGTTTTAAGATCTGTACTTTACTGCATTTATTAAATTCTATGATGAACAATATTATTTTACAAATAATGTGATTTTTATTTTTAAAAAAGACAATGAGAGATGATTTGTTATACTTAACCTTCTCTTGCATATTTCAAAGAGATTTGAGATTCAAATGACCTATGGTCTTTCCTCTACCAAAACACACTGCCTACTCATGTTCCACATCTCAGTAATTGGCATGCTGGAATGATAGCCAGTAATGCCAGCCAGAAACCTAGTCTTGATACCTTCCCTCTACCATACATCTATTCCATCACTAAATCTTGTCCATTTTCTCTATCTCCTTTTTTTAAGTAGGCTCCATGCCCAGTGTGAAGCCTAAAGCAGGGCTTGACTCATGACCCCAAGATCAAGACCTGAGCTGGGATGAAGAGTCAGACACTTAACTGACTCAGCCACCCAGGCTCCCCCATTTTCTCTCTTAAACATTCTTGGAATCTGTTCACTTTTCTTCATCTCAACTTCTCTTTATCTGCACTACTGTGACTAAATTTTAACCGATCTATCAACTCGTATCCTTACCCCCAAAAATCCTTTCTTCTTGCTTCAAGTCAGAATAACCTTTTCAAAAAGCAAATGTGATGTTAACCCTAGGGCTTCAATGGCTATCCAATTTTTTTTTTTGCTATCTAGCTTTCTTAAAATAGACAAAGTTCCTTATCATCACTACTTTTAAGGCCCTCCCAACGTCCTTAGAGTCACTGTGCACCAGCTCCTCTCTGTTCTCTTCACTTCAGCCAAATGGGCCTATTTTCAGTCCCCTTGTGATCCCTTTAGCCATACATGGCTTTTGCATTTGCTCTTCTTTCTGCTTGGAATCATATCCCCTCCCTTTTTCACCTAGTCAACACCTACTCATTCTTCAGATCTCTGTTCAATCATCACTTTCTCAGGGAAAGCTTGACTTCCTTTTATTAGATCAAATCTCTTACTATATGATATCCTATATTTTTCCTTTGTAGTCCATATTACAGCTACAATTTTATATTTATTTATATTAGTCTGTTCATATCCAACTGTCCCACCAGAGTGTAAGTTCCATGAGAGAGGGCACATACTTGTTTTTGCTCATCAAACCCAGTGCCTAGTAGGGCGCTTGGCACAAAGTAAAGGGCCTGACATAATTGTGACAAAATTTTCTAAGTAAGGCCACAGACCAGTAACAAGCAAGAACATTAGATTAGGAGATGAGCTTTCCACACAAAGATGTAATCAACTGAACTCAAAATACAAAAATATTACTACTTTGTGCTAGTCACTGTATAGGTGTTACACCTCATTTAATCCTCACAGCAATCTTATAAGGCAGGTAAGTATGTCTGTTTTAAGGACATGGACATTGAGGCACAGATGACTTGCCTATAGTCACACAACTAGTAAGTGACTGAGCTGACACTGGAACCCAATTCTGTGTCCTTCACCACTTTTGTTCATACTGCATTTTCTACTCACTCTCCCTCCAAAAATCCCCCATTATACTGCAAAAAACCACCCTCCTACTAGTCAACAAAAGTCTCCATTCACAGTATTCAGAGGATCTCTCAATGGCAGCACCAATGCATTTATGCCTTGAAATTTGCCTCTAAAGCCTTCCAATTTTTACAATGGTGATACTATCTGTGTATAAATCAGTGCCAGGAATAAGATAAATACACAGAGTCCCCAAGAAGATATGCTGCTTACTAGTTTGGGAAGTCTAGGTTTTTGAAATTTCTATTCAAGATTAACACTAAACGTATTTTCAGACTTTCTTTACTAAACTATATACAATGACTACAAATATACACATACATACATGTGTACAAATATACACATACATAACACAACACACACACAAATACATTTCTTTCAATTATGAGGGTTCAGATTCTAAGCCCTGATACACATTTTAATAGATTTACTAATTTTGAAAAATACTTTAAAAATCCAAACAGAAAAGTACAAAGTAAAATAAGGCCCAGATTCCACCATCCAGCCTATTGTTAATGGCTTTTCTCATTTCTATGTGTATATACATATATCTAATATACGTAATTTTAAACAAATACTGTATGTACTGTTCTGTAAGCCTGCCTTCTTCCCAATCCAGAATGCATTCAGGACATCTTTCTATATCTCAAATGCATGTACATCTGACTAAGGCCATATGCAATTAACTAGGCATCTCATCTGTAAACTTAAGATGCCTTTTATAGTATTCTAGCTTAAAAAGCTTTGAAATTATTTTTTAAACCGAACAAATGAGATCACTTAATAGTTCTAAGAATATTGACATACAACATATGATACCTTTTCCTCAAAACCCAAACTTTTCTTGCACCACAGGACTGAATTAATCCTCGCTACAGATGCTTTCTTTTGATACTTGATGTTTATTTTTTCAGGTATAAGAGTCTAAAACAAGGGACAGAAATCTACAGTCTGCCACCTCTTTTTGCAAATCAAGTTTTAATGGAACAAAGCCACATGCACTCATTTATCATTTGTCGATGGCTGCTTTTGCCCTATGACAGAATTGACTAGTTGCAACTACATGGCTTGAAAGTATTTCCTAGCTGGCCCCTTCTCAGAAAAACTTTGCTGACCCCTTGTCTAAAAGATAATTTGCTCCAAGACATAATGAATCTAGACGAGGATAAAAATCTCTATGTTGTCAAATCACACCATTCTCTCATAGTAACTTTAACCATAGGCCTAAGTGAATCAATTTTTATGGTTTTAGTTCTTTTTTTTTTAAAGTAAGCTCCATGCCCAGCATGAAGCCCAATGTGGGGCTTGAACTTACAACCCTGAGATCATGACCTGAGCTGAGATCAAGAGTCAGATCCTTAACCAAGTGAGCCACCCAGGTGCCCCTGGTTTTAGTTCTCATAAATAAAGAGGAACACATAAAACCAACTTACTTCATATACTTTGTTCCAGTTTTCTGTCTCGAGTTTGTGTTGACTCTGTTTGAGTTGGTTTAAACTTGGCTTAATTAGAGAATTTCCTACTGCTTCCTTTGTCCAGTCATCCACCAATTTATGTAAGTCGTCTGTGAACATCCCTTTTTTACTAGCTGGAGATTGCTGGCATGATGCTACATTACTTTCCACACACAGTGGATCTAGAAGAAAAAAAAACAGGAAAATCATAAAAAGGAATTAAAACTGATAAATACTGATTTTGGCCAATAATGCAGTTGACAGAAATTCACATATAGGGTACATATAGGGTAACCAGATATTTGAGTTTATCTGGGACAGTTCTGGTTTAAAAGCTGCTGCCCTGGAGTAATTATTAGCTTTCAAAAGTTTCCTCTATTTGGATGGCAAATTATATGGTCACCTTGGTTTAAGTCAAATAAGGTATAAGTTATAAGTCAAATATAATAAACAATATTTCTAAAAACAGTATCAATTATAATCTTTATATTAGTTTCCTCATATAGATATTTAGAAGAGTTCAAAAACCAACCATAGAATGTTAAAATTGCAAAGAATCTTAGAAGTCTAATCCAAACCACTTGTTTTATAATGGGTGAATGAGCCCCAGAATAAGTATGATGAGTTCTTGCAATTAGTTACCAGCTGAATCAGGCCTGTGTAGACAAGGATGCTCTCTCTTTTCAATATACCATACTGACTTTCAACTAGCATCAGGAAACCAGAATCTAATTTTCTAACCAATATTTTTGTTTAATGATAAATGGCAGAAACAAGAATGCAGATGGTCTGTGAACCTCAAGAGTTGTAGAGCATAAGATGTCCAAATAAATGAAACAAATCAATTATAGAAGTCTCTGCCAAAAAAATTTCCTAATCTGAACATCACACTAAGTCTTTAAATTATTTAGTACTATTATACACATTCACTAAATCATTTTCACAGAAAAAAAATTCATGAAGTTCCAATTCCTCTGATTTACACACCAAAACTTAAGAGAGTGGGTTTAAAATGAATTTTAGGAAATAGAGTTGTGAAATATAAGCACAATAACATTTTCAGGGATTTTATTAAACAAGCATATGAAAATTTCTTGTACATTTATTATGGTACTTTTTAAATTATGAAAATATAGAAATTGCAGAAGATGATACAAAAAGCCTCCATATTGACACTTTCAAAGTAATTTTCTTTATCATTTTTGAGACTTACAACAGGCCTGTGATATAGGCTCAATGAGTATTCTATTTTTTTTTCCAATGAGAAGAATGTGATCCAGAAGCTGAGGCTATGTGCTCAGCTAGAACCCAGGTATCCAGACAATTAGGTCAGTGTACCTTCTACTGTACCACAGAAGACACTGGGAAATGAATGGGGAAATTGCTTCAAAAGGAGGAACATGATAATCTTAATGATTGCTTATACAAAATCTGTGATTCTCAACGAATTCTGCACTACTAAAAGCTTAGATTCAAGGAGATTAAATCTTAAATGAAAATATATTAATGAAATTTGCTTAAGAATACCTTAATGAATTAATTGGACCATATTCACATATACAAATGAGTTTTATCAAAATCATGGAGACTACATTTTGGGCAACCATGAGATACCAAAAGGACATACCAATTTTGCTGGAAGTCTCTCCTTTTCTCTTTCTTTCTTTCTTTCTTTCTTTCTTTCTTTCTTTCTTTCTTTCTTTCTTTCTTTTTATTTATTTATTCATTCATTCATTCTCCTTTTCTAAGACTTAAAACTCAAAGACACCAAGTCAGCCTATAATAAAGACATTTTTTCCTGTAATCCCTCGGCACATTCATCTAATTCTCCATCAACTCCAGTGATGGAACAAATAGAATGATATTGGGTAAGACTCTGGAGCTAAAACCTAAGATTGTCTTCTTACCCTGGAAAAATGTCAGCAGGCAGGAGTAAAAAGGAGAAGATAGCCAGAACCATATTCAAGTTAGTGCCAGCATTTTTGCCCACCCCACTTCTTCCAAGGAGTACTTTTGTGTTTATTCCCCTTAGTTTCTTAAAAAAAAATTGTGTCACATAAAGCTAAGTTGGAATGTCATTCATTTAAGAACATTTCTGCACTAAGGGAAAGCCCAATGTCAGGATTCTTGTGTACAGCTCTGATGGAACAAGTGATCTTGAACTCTCAATTGATGGTAATGATGGATGTTGCACCAGTGGCACAAAAGCCAGCAAGTGAAGAAAAGATTAGCAAACCAAACGGGTATTTAAATGAAATAGGGGCCAAGGGCAAGACTCCTAAGTAGACAACAGAATGATATGCATACACATACCTTCCAGAAGTTATCAAGAATAAAGTGCTACATGAGAAGCAGAAAATGTTATTTGAACGTTATCCAGGGCCTAACTATACTATACACATGAAAAGGACAATTATTTATTGATTTCATTTAAGAGTTTTTCATATACCATAAAAGATCACTTAATTTGAAGTTCACAAACGAGAAAATACCTACATGAAAAGAAGTACTGTACAAATGTTTTACCATTTATAAAAAATGTCAACATTACTTATGACATTATTTAACTTCAAAGATGTTCTTTAATATTCATTTCTTACTGATGAAATGAATAAAACCAGAGTATGGTACTTGGCGCTCTTTTTGTTTGTTTGTTTGTTCCCCAAGGTGATGCCCACATTCAGATAGTTTTAGTGACCACCCAACTGCAATGGGTTCCCATCTCTTATCTCAGATCTTGACCCCTCTTCAATCCAATTTCAAAACCCAAATGTGTTTTTTCTCCTTGGATGTCAATAAGTTGTTCAATTCAATACATATAACAGTTCACCTAAGTGTCCTATTTCTGTGATATCTTTCACATTTTCTCCAAGTCACTTGACTCTGAACGTTTGGATCTAACCAAAAACAGACAAATATCTAATTCATCAACACATCATTGCAATTCATCCTATACAACACCTCTTGCCTATTTTCACTTCCATAATTCTCTAAGCTCTTAATCATCTCATACATGGAATGCTGTGAGTACAATGATCTAAATGGACTCACTCCCTAGCTCTAGCCAATATATTCTTCACACTACTACCAGATTAGTATCAGCTAACTATTTTCGGTTTCACTCCTCTTCCTCCTCCCCCTTAAAGGTTTCTTTTTATTTTTAAAAGATTTTATTATTTATTCATGAGAGGCAGAGACACAGGCAGAGGAAGAAGCAGGTTCCATGCAGGGAGCCCGACGTGGGACTCAATCCCGGGTCTCCAGGATCATGCCTTGGGCTGAAGGTGGCGCTAAACCTCTGAGCCACCTGGGCTGCCCTAAAGGTTTCTTAATACCAACAACAGTGGGTTTTTAACTTGTTGACGTGGTAAAGTCATTGTTAGTAGTCATGGTTATCTTTGCAGAACAGGTGTTTATTATCCTTATACATACTATATCTCATGTATTAAGCTTAAACATATCATTATGTGTTAGATAAATTATCTTACACCAAACTGGAGCATAGACAAGCCAAAAGTTCTTTTTGTAAAGTATGTAAGAAAAACCTTCTAATTCTAATGTAAACCCTCCAGTTCACTCAACTGTTATATTTTCTTTCTTGGAAATAAATCTTAAATTTTACCATTTGCATGCCCTTATATCATGCAATTCTACCTATTGACAATACTCTTCCCACAGCACTTCACCAATTTTAATCCTGTCTATTTATCCTTCAAGACCAACTCAAATACTACAACCTATATGTAGCAATCTCAGACCACTATCATCCACTATGATTCTCCATTGCTTCCTCTCAACCCACTGCAGACACAATTTTTGGTATTGGGAGGCAATGCAGAATAACAAAAAAGAACCAAGTCTTTGGGGTTAAACAGATTTGGATTCCCTCTATTATGAACTGAGGTCTTAGGTCTTAGGGAAGTTGTTTAGCCTCACTAACTTTAGTCTTCTTACCTATAAAAGACAGACATTAACTTCTATCTACCTTAGAGTTCTTTTGAGGATTGAGATTATGCAATTATGTTTCAGGGTCCTCAAAACCACTCATAGATTCAGTGATTCAAAGTTCTGAGGACTCAGCATGTAGTTGTACTCACAGCTAAGTTTATTACAGCAAAAAGATGCATGATAGATCAGCAAGGGAAAAAGACAGGAATCTGGAGAAATTCATGCACAGACTTCCTTATGCTCTCTTCCTATTATGAAGGGGCACACCTGAGAATACTCCTTTCTCTCAGCAACAAGAAATGCAGTACACCAAAGACATGAGAACTGAACTAAGACAACTGCCAAAGACTGAGATTGACCACTTGGAGACCCACATGTGGGAAAGAGCCAAAGAACACCACAGAGGCAATGCAACTGAGCTAACATTGGAACAACAGACCAAAGAAGATAGGCTACAACTCACAAGGTAAACTCACAGGGGCGCTTAGGTGGCTCAGTTGGTTGGGCAGCCGACTCTTGGTTCTGACTCAGGTCATGATCTCTTGGGTCTTCGGTCTGAGCCAGCATAGGGTTCCACACTCAGTGGGGAATCTGCTTGATAGTCTCTCCCTCTGCCTCTTCCCCCACTTGTGTGTGTGCTTTCTCTCTCAAATAAATGAATAAATCTTAAAAAAAATAACTGGGTCCATTACTTCTTATAAAAAAATAAGCACTCAGGTTTTTTTCTAAAGATTTTACCTATAAATCTTTAAAAAATAATCTTAGCAACAACAAAAAAAATCTTAGCTTCCATTTAAGGAAATTAGAGAAAGGGGCAAAATAAAAACAAGGCATGGGTAAGGAGAAGAGAATATGAAGAGCAGAAATCAATGCAAATTAAAACAGGTAAACAATAGAGAAAATCAGTAAAAGCAAACACTGGATCTCTTTGAAAAGATCAACAAAATGGATAAGCCTTTATCAAGACTGACAGGAAAAAAGAGAAGACAAAAATTACAAATATCAGAAATAGGTGATGTTACTACAGGTTTCCAAGAGCTTGAAAAGGTAATAATAAACTCTAAACACAAAGATTGAACAACTTAGATGAAACGGACCAAGCTTCAAAACCTACAAACTACCAAAACTTACTCAACACAAAATGTATAAACTGAAAAGTCCCACAACTACTATTAACTAATTTGAATTTGTAGTGAAAAATGTCCTAAAATAGTAATCTCTGAGCCCAACTGGT